TTGAGCTTGAGCTTGAGCTTGAGCCTGAGCCTGAGCCTGAGCCTGGCCATGCGGCTGTTGGCCAGCAGGTGCACTGTTCTTATCCCACAGGTTGACCGGCTTGTAGTTGTAATGGGTTGGGTCTCCCCATGCTGATGTCCCATCGTCTATCTCTTTTTTCCTGCTTATAGACTGCGGCGAGGGTTCCTCCCAGCCGCTTGGTTCAGATCCACTTCCGCCTCCTCCGGAGCCACCAGGGATGGGCCCAGAGGTCCAGCCTGAGCTTTGGTTCTGATTCTGGACTTGAGAGATGGGTTTCCTCCCCCCGCCCCCTTGCATAGCCCCTTGGTCCAACGCTTGCTGTCGCTGTGGATGCTGATTGCGGGGCTGTGATTGTTGCTGTTGCAGTTGTGCCTGTGGGCCTGTGATGGAACCCGACTGGCTGTTTGGCATCTGGTGCATTTTGTTTCCTCCACTCCAACTTTGCTGGGGTTTAGACCCCCCAACAACACCCACCCCCCCTCCACCACTCCCACCTCCCCCTGTGCCCCCTGCTCCCCAGGTCCTCCTGGGAGCACCATCATCCCAGCTCCCCCAACCACCCACACCTGAATCCCCACCTGAGTTTCCTCCATTCTTCCTCTCATCCTCCCATCCTCCTCCACTATTTGATTTGGACTGTTGTTCTCCCCAGTCCCTACCTGCTCCCACCTTCTGTCCTGATCCCCACCCACTTCCTCCTCCATTTCCTCCCATTTCTTTCCATCCCCCTGTCCCTTTCTCCTCCTGGCCGCCTCCCCAGCCTCCACTCACTGGGTTACCCTGTTGCCCAAGATCACCCCATCCTCCTCCTCCATTTCCACCTCTACTACTGTCTCGCCATTCCTCTTTCCCCCAACCCTTGGCCTCCTGGCCATCCCCAGCACCAGCCCCTCCTCCACCCCAGCCTGTAGCCTTTCCTTGCTGGCTATGTCCTGGTATAACACCTGACCCCATACCAGGTCCTGTTGGGGTCACTGGCCCAGATTGTGAGACGCCAAGATTCCTAATGTTGGGGCCTGAAGGTGGTGGGGCTCGCCCAGACAGAGATGCCCCACTACTGCTACTGTTGCTGCTGCTCTCCCATCCCTCTCCGGAGGACCCAGCAGAAGGAACCAGGGAAGGACTGGCACCAGGACCCATAGAATCAGGGATTTGGGTTCTAGGTCCACCAGAATACTGAGAAGAACCACCAAGAGAAGATGGGTGTTTTGATGTGGCTGATGATGACCCACCTTTACTTTGTCCTCCACGTTCTTCAAAGTCCCAGGTTGTGTTTTGTCGGATCTGTGTTTGGCCCCAGCCTGTGTTGGACAGGACCCGAGGGTCCAGATCAGACCGACTGAGAAGGTTCTGTAAGGCAGCTTCAGCATTAGGTGCCGGGCGGCGAGGACGACTGTGACTGCTGTTAGGCCCGCTCCCGCTTCTGGAATTTCCACCACTGGATGAAGATCCTCCCTGTGCTCCCTGTCCTTCTCCTCCCCCACCCCATTCCCCTGTTTCACCTTCTCCCTTCTGATTGTCCCAAGCTCTGGTCATAGTTGTGGCTGTTGAAGAAGAGGAAGAGGTGGCAGGGGGGTTGCCAGCGGTGCTGCCCCCACTACTGCTGCTGTTACTACTGCCGGCTCCACCCATTCCCTCACCTCCTGGGTTAGCTCCACCAATACCAGTGGAGCTCCCACCCCAATCACCACCAGAAACCCCTCTCTCTCCTCCTACTCCTGATGACCCCCACCCTCCCTGAGATACCCCGGAGGTTTGACTACTGTTTCCACCAGTTCCAGCACTGCCCCAAGCATTAACCCCACTAGTAGAACTCGGATACCCCCAACCCGAGGTTCCATTATCTCCTTCAGCAGCTCCGAATCCCCCTGCGCCACCTCCTCCACCCTCCCATCCATCAGTCCTTGAGGCACCCGTTTTGGAGTTAGCTGCAGGGTAAGAAGGCTGGCTTCTCCATGAGGAGGCAAGGCTGTGATCTCCCACACTCATCTCGCCTCCTCCCACACTACGGTCCATTCCTGCCCCAATCCCTTCCCCCCCTGTGATTTTTGGTCCCGCTGATTCGCTGTCCCACTTCCCTCCCATCTCTCTGTCTCTGGATTGCATTTGGTGAAGTTGGCGCTGATGGGTGCTTGATTGATTCACAGATAAAGGTGGGTGACCCCCCAGCACCCCGACTGCCCCACCTCCCAGCCCCAGGGAAGCAGAGTTGTTGGCAGACAAAGACCCTCCAGGGCCCTGGTGATGGAAGGAAGACGGGCCTCCTTCCCCTGCAGCAGCGGGCCCATCCTGCTGCACCAGGGCAGGCCAGGCCGAAGGGTTGGCATTTGGATTGAAATTGGCACCTGGAATCCCACTGCTGCCGTCAACGGGGCCACTGGCATCATGGCTCCCTGGCACAGCGGAGGCTTTGGAAAGTGAGGAGGGCTGTTGTAGCAGAGTCCCAGCTGCAGCTACTGCATTCCCTCCTCCAAGATGACCCTGGGAGGCAGCCATCCCCCACACCACACCATTAGACGACTGCATACATTCATTGGGCAAAGAGAATGAGGAAGTGGGTGAGGATTGGTTGCCAGAGGCACTGATGCTGTTCACAGGCATTCCGTTGTTGCTGCTGCCCCCTCCAGCCCCGGTGAAAGAAGCTCCTCCCCCATCACTGCCAGCAATGCTAGGCCACTCCTCCAGGTCATTGCCATCGACAATCACCTTCTCCCTGCCCTGAGAGGAGGCCTGGCTGCCTGAGCTCGCCCCCCACATGGAATTTGCATAATTAGAAGTAGTAGTAGAAGCAGCAACTGATGATGAGGTGAGGGCCAATGAGGAGGCAGCTGCACCAGAATCTGAAAAAGCAAATTCCAAAAAAAAAAAAAAAAGACTTTAGGGGTTAAAGGGAAGGGACGTTAAAAGAAATTATATAAATAATCTTTACATAGATCGGATCTATTCTAAATCTGAACTACAGCAGTGTTAACACTTACCTGAGACAGCAGCCATGTTTGCATTGGGGCCATCCCCTCCTCCTCCCCCTCCCAGCAGCATGGAGGACAGTGGCGGCTGACCCCTCTTCAGTAGCACTTTATGGTCCTGCTGGCAGCGGAATCGCGGCGGCACTTCTCTCGGCATGTAGCGTGGTTGCTGCTGAGGCGCCTGGGCTCCGCCTCCGCTACTTGTACTGCCGTTTCCAGCAGCACTGGGGCCGCCAGCGGTGGAGGAAGAAATGTTGGTGGAGGTGGGCTGTCCGTTGGCCACCGCCAGGCGCTTGGCATTGTTGCCGCCCTGTGACGGGGTGGCAGCACTGCCAGGGCCCAAGGTGGCTGGGGATGGGGAGGCAGAGGGGGTGGGTCCAGGGCTGGGGGAGGCAGAGCTGCTCTGAGTGGCAGGAGACTGGGCAGACGCCGGCTTGGTCAAGTCTGGCACTGCAGGAGGGGAAGAAAATTGGTTAATTAGAAAATTAAATTATTTTTTAATTAAAGTAATTTTAAAAAATTAAAAATCCACTGTTGCACAATTAATTGTCTGTAAATGTTTAGTATTAACCATATTGTTGGTATAAAGTAGATAAGCAAAGGGAAGGTGCTACAAAGAACTCCTTGAAGCAGATGCTTTGGGTTCAGGATAGTTGCTCTTGGCCTTCTTGTGCAAAATATCGTATAAGACCGACAAGAAGTGAATTTTGTCATCTACCATCAAGATGGTTCCCATGTAAGAGGAATGGTGCCGCCACAAATGTAAAATCCAACAATAATGACAATGAGCATTATCACAATCCATTAAAACAAAAAACTTAAAGATAACAAAGGTCAAAATTGTCAGAGGACCTTTGGAGAAAATAGCAAACCCCTGACATTTATATCTTAACATATACACATATGTCACTACGGTGCTTACCTTTGTTTTTTTGTTCTGTGACCTAAAATGAACAGAAAAAACACATTAGTTACAAATTCATTCTGTAAAAAGCATGAAAAAATGTTTCATTCATTCAAATGTCAAACCTAAGTACAACATGTCCTAAGCAAAGATGAAAAAGAAAATGTAAAACAGGACACAACTTGGGGTTTACAAGAATGAAACTATGAATGTGGTTAAATAAAAAATAAAAAAAAGGAAAAAAAAGTCTAGGAGTGCCAGGATAATAAATACATCACCCTTGATTCAAGAGCCTGTAGTTGTTGAGACATGCTATGTTTTAACAGTATTCTCCTAACGCTGACAGACAGCTCCATTTCATATTTTAAAAACAGAACAACGTAAAACTGCTCCCGGGTCAATTAAATCATTCAGGATTGTGTTCAATGCAAACTTTACTAAGAAATTATGTTGGAGATTTGTTCAAAAGGTGAGTCCATTTTAGAATGATAAGGTCAAGCACTAAGCCTTCCCCAAAAAACAACCATTTAAGGTGAATTATAATAAATACATAAATGTTTCACACAAAATATCACCACATGAATGTCTACATGTTGGTACGTGGGCCTCTAGTAGGGGCAAGCCTGGAGCAGGTACCTTTTCATGTCAAGTTAAGTTTCTAAATGTTGTCATTCACAGATTGAGGTTTACCTAAGCACGTTTTATTGCAATTGGCATAATATTTACATCCAAGAGAAGTTCTGTCATGAGAGTGATGGGATCACTTTGGTTAGATGTAAATGTGAAATTAACAGAAATAGGACTCCTGATCAAAAACTGTAAAATGTCAGCAATATACTAAAAAGAAAACAAAATATGATTTGCTTTGAAAGCTTATTCAACTACTGGTGAACAAGGTGCTGCAGCATGTTTGTTCAAAGGTGTCCAACCCAGATGGAGGAGCCTGTATGTAACTGTGAACATGCTCACCTTCTGGGAGGCTTCCCTTTTCCTTTTTTCGTCTTTTTTCCTTTTCTTGTCTTCCATGAACTACTGCTCCTGTCCTGATACTCCTTTCTTCTAGAGGAAAAGGTAGGATATTCCAAAATGTGGTCACATGTTCACCATTTTAAAATCACTAAGTTACCATTTGTAAAGCCAGTGGTTTTTAACTGTTGTTAGGTAAATAAAAACATTGTCAAAGAGTTAATGATGACTCAAGACAAAATCCAGGTAAAAAGAAAGCATCAAAATTGCTACATTGGCCACATGAGCCTCCACCCATGTGCTTAAATGACAATGGACTGCATGGTTGATTGGATGAATCAGCCATCAGGTGCTAGAGCTAAGAATACTGCCGGACACGTGGGCAACAAACACAGTAATTATCCCTATCATGAGCATGCAGAATACTGTAAGCTGATCATACTGGTAGGTTCAACCAATTTAGACGTTTACAAGGGGCTTGAGTTAGTCTGCCAACTCATCTTGTCAGCAGACTGACTGAATCTGCAGGTGGCAATGGGACCCATAACAAGTGACCCATAACAAGTGACCAAGTTGCTTGTGCTTTAATTGTTCCTAAGATGGAGTGTAAGCAAGTCTTCCGGATTAGGCTCTTTAACAGCTTTGAGACGAGGAAAGCCAACGAGAACACCAAATAATGCATTGTCACTAGGATCCCCAGTACAGGAATATAGAGCAGGCTGTTTTGGACAAATCCACAAACACCATAATACTGATAGACTGCAATGCTAGTACATGGTTGGGTCTTTCCTGAAGAAACCCCATTAGTAATGTAAATATGATGGTCAAACAGGTACAGGCATTCACTGTTCATTTAACTAAAGCTTTAACAGTCAAATAGGCTGAGGAAATGTCGCTCTACTGTAATGTGGCCAGGAAGGCACACATTTAAAACCAGAGTACATTAGAATACGCCAAAACAGTCGAAACCCCACAGGATATCTAAACTCATGTTACCATCTTAAAAAGAAAACCGTCCGATTATAAACAAAGTAGAGCAACACACGGTTTAAAAGCGTAAACTTATTGCTAAGACCCGACGGTGTCTGTTTTTTAGTTGCTTTCGTTTTTGCTTAATGCCACAACACTTCCAGCAGTGAAGGTTTCTCTATCCACAGACCTGACATCCCCCCTGAAGCATTTCTGACCACAGGCCTGAATGGACCAGGAAAGCCAGACCCGATTATAACGTTATTACGAGCTGTCATATCTGCAACCAGCTACCCTACAAAATCACTGATGTAAACCACACCAGCTCATGTTACCGTACCTGTGTTGTCCTGTCAACGTTTCCAGCTCATCCGCATTTAGCTGAGAGCTAGCCAACGTTACAGCATTAGAAGATTTCTGGTGCTAACATTGGAAGAAAAAAAAAAAATCCTTCCCGATAATCGACACAGCGGGTTAAAAAGTTACTGAACTGAACCGTGCACAAACGAGTTAGCGTCTGGGTAAATAGACAAACACGTTGATTCCTGTTGTAGCTGATACAGGCGACAAGTTTTAACAGCAGCAGCTGGTACAATATCTCGTCGAGGGCTAACATTAAGGAGTGGTTTCTGCAAAATGGTCTGCTTTCTTCTCACGTTTAAAATACGCAGACACAGACCAGCGCGCACATTAACACGTTAACGTTAACGAGATCAACCAGCTGTCAACCAGTGCAAGTTAGGTTACCGTTACGGTCCTGTGTGCACCGCGGTCAGCAAATAACACCGAGCCTTGAGCCACATCTCCACCTCAGCTAATGCGCTAATGAAGCTACACCGTTGCTAATGCTACCGAACGTTAGCTGACCTGTTACCTAGACACAGCAGCGGGGCTAACGGCCACCCAGCGCGGCGGCATGGCAACGAGTTGGCAAATGTGTCGTAGTCACTTTACACACACACACATTATTATTATTATTAAATGTTAAAACGCTGCAAAGGGCGCTCAGCTAACGTTACTCACCTCAGGAATCACATATGAAGAAAAGCTAGCGTGCTAGCTAGCTTAGCTAAAGTGCTTCAGTGCGATTTTTTTTTTCTCTTTTTGAGGCATTCGTCGAGGCTACAGGAACAGCGACGCCTGAGCGGGGAGTCAAGTAAGTGGCGGATGACGAAAACACACGCGTAACGAGCTACTGGTTTGTAAATAAGTACTAACGTTGTAATAGTGTAAACCCTAATGTGCAGAAGAATTTAAATTTCAAAGCGCTGTGGAGTCAGTCGGTTGACGGGCGGCCATTTTGCTGCTCGGCATGAAGCGTCTCCAATGGCCAGCCTGTGGCAGCTGCGTGAAAGTCCTCTGACTGGCTGCTCCGACCGGGAGGGATGCATAAAACACGCATTTTGACCTTCATAAACTTTTGACAGTCAAACTTAGCACCGCTGTGCATGTTTCGCATGATAACATTCCCCCCCCACACACACAAAACGCATATTTTAAAATATCCGGTGAAGTTATAAACAGAAAACCATTTTGCAGAGATTTGCAAATTCATTATTTCTGCTGCTCATGACTTTCTTTGGATAGCAATGGGTCCGAGAAAGAGAGGAGCGACGAAAAGGAAAACTGAGGAGGCTTTGGAAGGAGAGAAGGAGGAAGAGGAGGCTGTGGAGAGAGCAGACAGGAGGAGGAAGCACCGTGGAAATAAGAAATACATTGGAGCTCATGTTGGCATCCAAGGTAAGGCCTAATGCCATCTTGTGAGACTCTCCCTCACTAAAACAAACACTGTTCTTATACTGTCTCTTTTATATGCCCCCAGGTGGGATATGGAAAGCCGTGGAGTCCTGCTCAGAGATGGGTGGCAGCAGTTTCGCCCTGTTTCTGGGCTCCCAGCGGTCATGGAAGAGGCCCGCACTGGACCCTACGGCTGCAGCCAAGTTTCGGGAGCAATGTTCCTTACAGGAGTTTGACCCAGCTCACATCCTGCCTCATGGGTCCTACCTGATGAACTGTGGATCTCCTAAAGAGGGTTTGTCAGACACTGATGGATGTCTCCTGCATGATCCTGTCCTTCACTTTTCTCCCACACTCTCTCACACTCAGTAATCTGCCCTTTGCAGCTGCATCGCCTCTTCTCTTTTCTTCTGACAACCTCATCTGGTTTGTGTACCATGTTGCATCCAGATGTGTTTGAGAAGAGCCAGGCCCTGCTGGTGGACGAGCTCAGCCGCTGCAGCGTCCTAGGCCTCAGCCTCTACAACTTCCACCCTGGCTCCTCCTTGGGCTCCATCACCAATGAGCAGTGTGTGGACAAGATAGCAGGATCCATTAACCACGCTCACCAGCAAACACCTGCTGTGGTTACAGGTACAAGGGTTGGACAAAATAACACAAACACCGTCTCAACAATTTCCATATATTATGAGCTTTTATCAGATATGTATTGCTGTCAGATGTATTGATCCAACTGAGGTTATTTATATAGTAAATGTGTTTAAATGCACTTTGTTCTGTGATAATGAGGATCAATATGTTTTTTCCTGATAGTTTTGAGACTTTTCCCCTTGCCGTGTTACATATTTATTTATTTTTTGCTGTATTTGAGACTTATGCACCTTCAGTCCATGGAAGGACTACGGTAAACGTAACTACAAAGGCAGATACTTCAATAGAGCATATTAAGTTGCATTAGCAGTGTTTGTCAGGAACTTAGAGGTAAAAAAAAAAAAAATGAGGCCAGATAATAACTATTGCTAAAAGCAAACGTGTGTCATGTAGCAAAAAAAACACAATGACGTATGCTGAACAGTGATCTTAATCCATACCTCTTATGGTCTTGTCAATCAGACAACGTTATGAGGCTTTATTGAGTATTTGAGTCTCAGTGTAGCAAGAAAACCTGGCGGTTGCAGCCAAACCCAGTGCACACAATTCTAAATCTGGTGTTACTAAAATCACAATTGGTGGGTTAATCTGTTTGAATGTAATTAATGAAACTGGGCTCCAATATATTTTTGACCCTATTAAAGATTTCACTACCACAAGTCGGTTATCAAAAAAATGTGTACGTCATCATCTCACAAAAAACGATTTGACTTCAGACTGACTTTTGTGGTAATACGTTTCTTTCAATTTGCAGAACTGACTGCAGGCTTGACACTGGTGTTGCATTACTTGTGATTCATGGCACAGAGCACAGTCCTTTTGACTTTTGAAGCTGGTGTGACAGGAATACACTGCAGTGGAATGCCTGCAAACACATTGAAGCAGTAGCAAAACCTGCCCTCAGGCTGTGCACCAGGAATGAACACGGGCAGCAAAACCAATTCAGCATGTGTATCAGGTGTGGGAGCAGATGGGTTGAATCATGGGTACGTCAAACTGATGGTGCCTTCTTTTCCTTGTGGTCAGTGTTGGAGAACATGAGCGGTCAGGGAAGTACGGTGGGCGGGAAGTTCTCTGAGCTGAAGAGCATCGTAGACAAAGTCAGAGACCAGACCAGAGTGGGAGTGTGTCTGGACACCTGTCACGCCTTTGCAGCAGGTGAGTGAAACATGAGGTTGATCTTTTTCTCCCACAAAATCAAAAGCATCATTTCCTCTCCAGTCATTAATCACACAGTCTGCGTTCTAATTGTAACAAAACTATTTACCTCTGGTTCATCATAGTATAAACTTGGCTTTTGTTGATATGGAGGAGAAGCATATAAAGCCATGAAATATTAAAGCTGCCATTAGGGCTGCAAGTGTTGTTTATTTTTGTGTTGTTTTTGTTGTAGGATATGACCTGGCAGCAGAGGGAGGAGTGAAGGCCATGCTTGATGAGTTTGATCAGGAAGTGGGGCTCCACTACCTTAGAGCCATTCATCTCAATGACTCCAAAGGTGCAGATTCAACTACCCAGTATCCTCACACAGTTAGCATAAAATCACACGCCACATACACAGATTAGTCAGATGATTTGTTAATTGATCTGTATTTACATCAACTCTGCTGTGTGTTCTTTTTTTCCTTCTTCATGTAGGTAAACTCGGCTGCAACCTCGATCGGCACGAAGATATCGGCAAAGGCCACATCGGAATCTCTGCTTTCCGGGACATTGTCAATGAGCCCAGACTGGACAACATTCCTCTGATACTGGAGACCCCTGGACGGTGAGATGAGTGCAGAGAAAATGGATAAAGATAGTCCTTATGCTGTAAATCTAAAACATGTCTTTACTAATTTACAAAATGAGAATGTAATGGAGAAGAGTGCATTGTCTGTTGACAACTAGATGACAGAGTTATGTTTTCTGGTTAAAAGACTCGATGACAATATGATTTTTAACATGACTGTTATGTCTTTTGCCCACAGGCCGGGATTTGAGTATGCTGAGCAGATTGAACTTCTGTATTCCCTCTGTGAGAAACAATAGAATGCACCTTTACTGATTTATGAGCACTGTAAAACTGTTTTTTTGAGGACCAAAGTGGATGGGTGGTGGAGCCTGATCACCTTAAACATTCAGAATTTGTTCATTAATCGCCATGTAAAAAGTTTTAGTGGGGTTTGTCTCTTAATAAATGTGTTTGTTGCAAGTTTTTATCTGACTTGTGAGGAGTTGTCTTGTTCACAATGTGCCACTAGAGGGCAGAAAGCACACACAAATACACCACAAACCTGATTCCAGATCATCTGTGCTTTTGGTTTCAGGCAGAGATGAAAGAATGTATAATACCAAATATATTTATTAGTAACTTTAAATTCCATATCTGATCTGTTCACATGCCATTGTTTGCAAAACACAAATAACATTTATTCCTACTGCACATTGTTGATTCAGACATTTACACATTAGTAAGAAATTAGACATAAGGGAACAAGCATGAGTTGTTATCAAATGGAAATGATATATCACTATTGTGTAAAATCACAAACACACGCTGCTTATGCAACATGACATCATACTTCCATTACCTGTAATGTCACCTTGTTAATATCAGTTAAGAAAATAGGATATCTCAAAACAGGACCAGTGCAACAGCTAGCAAATGGTGCTATCATCACTTTAATCAACATCTCATGTACATCTACATCTTACTGTCAATTATCACACGTATATGGATTTCACCTTCAACACCAACACACACCAGGTAAAGTAAACCCCCACATTCCTAAAAGGCTCCAGCTGTTGAATACCAACACTTTGGTACAGCTGTTGACCCCTGGGAGGGCAACAATTGACTGTCACACCTATTCCAACACCCCTTATAGTGGACATAAACATGCATGTGCACATACACGAGAAAACATTCCCTGACACACTTTTACCTGCTCTAAAATGTACTTTTCTGAGGTTCCTTTTATGTACCTGTATCTTTACTCTTTTCCTAGAACATCTGTGTCTCAGATCATAACATTAAAGTTCACAGGATTGTTTTGTTCCCTCCATTATCAGAGCACTGAGACTTTGACCTCACACCTCTCACTATTGTTTATGTGCAACATAAGTTATCTTGGAATTTAAACTTAATCTCTGGATAAGAGCGTCAAGGAAAGTGTAAAGAAAAAGCAGGTCCAGACGTCTTTCAGTGTGGTGTTAACAGAGACAGGAAGTGGAGGTGCCTGGCCCAAGAATGTCCCTGCTCTCTGGTCCCACCCACAGGAAATGCCTGTCCAGTCTGTTTGAGTCTGCACTGACGAAAAAGAAATCTCCCGTTAGTGGAGTTTGGCTTCTGCTGGAGGAAGGGATGGATGGAGATGAGGAGGCTGATCCTGGTACTTGTACGCTCTATTGTTTACATAAGCAGATGTCTGATGGTTTTCAGAGGTGTTCTGGTGATCTGGTTGGGTCAGGGGTTACAACCCAGGGAGGCTGAAGACTAAACAGTGAACACACATTCCTGAACTCTAAATTAATCATTTGCTGGAGGAAGCATGTGGGGGGAAACACCGAAGGGAATATAAAAATGCCTTTCCATTCTCTAATTATCTTAAGATGTGTGGTATTAACTGGTTCTGGTGCACTGTGTGCCCATGTTTTGTGAGCGCTCGTCCAGCCGTTTCTTTTCTTTTCTCTGTCATTACATTATACTGTGAATATTTTCCACTGCAGCCTAAAGCCACTGATCTAATTATCCAACTTTGTAAATACTTCCAGATATCTTTGGTTAGACTATTTCAGTGTCTTGTGAATAGCCAACTGACGATCTCTCCCTGGACTCGGTTTCCATCAGACTGATAACTGCTGTGGGAAATGGACATGAGCCTCTGACGGCCTGCCAAAGTGAAGCTAGAAAGAAATCTCAAACAAATGAAGACATTGTTTCTGTGTTTGTCCTCAGAGGCTCAAAGTGTGGAAAAAAATATATAAAATTGCACTGGCATGTGTGCACTTCAGTTTGCATGAATCCATAAGCTATAAAGCTGTTGAGGATAAAAAGACCTCCTATCAGATGACATATGAATCTTTGTCAGTAAGACATTTACAGATGGTTGCTTCTCTCTGCAGTGTCTAAAAATCTAGCATCTTCACTCTTGTTTAATTGGTTTTAAACAAGAGTGAGCTCCACCAAATCTGAGACCGATTATTACTTTGTAAACTGCTCCTTTGTCCTGCAATTTTAGTACAAGCACTTGGTTTACTTTTTCAATCTGCATGCACAAATTAAACCCTTGCTGTTGGGTTTCAGTTCCTCAATTTTCTATTTTATTCTCATTTATTTTAGTTGAGGGACATGCACTGGCACTGCTCAGTCGAAACCACACTCTTCCACTGAACTGCTCCACTGGGACAGTTGCAGGGTTTTGGTTACAAGTGCAATCAAAAAAAAGTGATGTGGTCACTCTCACAGTCCATGCAGGGATTTTAACTGCCAGTCTTAAGGTCATAAACTCATCTCAGTGACCTTTAGGCTGCTGATTATACATATATAACTTTTGTTCAGAGGAATATAACAAATGTCATAGCCATTATTCACCAAATAACTTCTTCTCCTTATTCTGACATCTCCTTACTCACTTGAAACTTGTGCTGCAGCACAACAGCTTGTATCACTTATAGTGTATTAGAGTGGAGCATTGTCTGCATCAGATGCTTTTGATTAAAGAATTGAATATGAATATGAACACAATAAAAATGTGTACAAAATCATTACATCATTAAAAACAAGTATCAACCACAGATAACAATATCTGAAAAAGCACATTACAACAAAAGATACTTTGTTAAAAACAAATTCCTTTTTATCTGTATCAGCTCAACTTGAGTGATCCTTTACTACCTAACACTGTAAAACATCTCAAATGTTATGTAACATTATCAAACAAGTAGTTTGACATTTTGGGAAATACACTTATATGCTTTTTTGATCAGCTTGGTTCAGTCAACCTGCGGCTCTGGAGCCACACGAGGCCGTTTAGCCCTCTCCAGTGGCTCCCTGTGGCTTGGTCGGTAAGTTGTATTGAAAATAAATAATTGTTATTTTTTAACATTTTAATTTAGCATCATTTATCATTTATCATAAAGTGATTCTTACATTCTCCAATTGTAAAAATGTGTAGTTCATTATTTGTCTCTAATTATATATTTCATGCTTATTAGCCTGTTAATTAGTGAGCTTTTTGGAGACTGCTCGTAGGCTGATCTTGTTACACTTGGGAAGATCCAGACTAGCTGTTTCTCTCTGTTTCCAGTCTTTATGCTAAGCTAAGCTATCCTGCTGTTGGCATCGTCTTACAGACATGAGAGTTGTATCAATCAAAAGACAGCAAGCATATTTCCCAAAATGTCAAACTATTCCTTCAAGTATACAAATGGATATTGTTATATTATTTTCATACAATAATCTTTCTTTCAATCATCTTTTTTTGTTTTGTCAGTTCAGTCAACATACAGCTCCTGCTACTGCCAATTGGAGCGGCAAAAGCTGTATGTTTTGAAAAATTTTTTAGCTGCTCTGGTTGCTTGCTAACTAGTTTTCGTGCACATTCATATTATACTGCAGCCAGACAGTTACTGGTAAATGGACTGTACTTATGTAGCACCTTTCTAGTTTTCAGACCACTCAAAGCTACAACACATTCACGCTTTCACACCCATACATAGATGGCAAAGGCCACAAACAGAAATGAATTCACATTCATACAGCGATGCACAGTGTCAGGAGCCTTCTACCTCCTGAGCCACAGCCTCAGTAAATACAAGATCAACCTCCCACCAATTTGATATCCTATCCTATCCGTTTATCCCCTTTATTTTCCTCCTTACCAGAAAGTATGTGGATATATGCTTCATGAAATCATGATTTCTATTTTTTCTTTTTTTCCAAATGATTTGACCTACTCCACAATCTGCACACATACTCCGTGGTAACTGCAAAAGTAATCGGACACTCTGGCTTTGGAATCACTGCTTTAACACATTATCCATCTAATCCATTACACCCTTACTGCCCAGAAGCTGTTTTTTAATTCTGTAAATGACCTTTAAAAGAGAGATTTAATCCACAAGATAAGAGTTAATGTAATAAAACATCTGATTGGAGTGTGTTGACCCGAGGGAAGCTGAGCAGAACCAAAACAGACGAAGATTCATGTTTAGTTAAACCAGTAAAGACAACTGCAGAGAGAAAGAGAGCGATAATACAAAACAAGAGGAGAGAGAATGAAAGAGAAAGGACTGTTTGCGTGGCTCTTCTGTTCCAGTGCGGCTTGAGTTGCAGGCCGAGCCAAACTTTATTCGTCCCTCTATACCCACAGTCTGACTGCTACATCTGCCAGCACTTCCCAGAGATGCCACACACTCACACACACACACACACACACACACACACACACTAAATCCTCTGTAAGGCCTGCACACACATGCTCCTACAAGCCTCAAAACTCACTCACACACACACACACACACACAAACTGAAGTGCAGAAGAAATAAGAGCTGAAGGGCAGGGTGGAGTCCATTCTGCTTTCTCAGCAAATCTTTTATTTTTGCACCTCAGCAGCAGCGCAGGCATCATAACTTACCTTCAAGATATAGCATTTCATTTCCCACTGTGAAAAAAAGAAAGCGAGGCTGTGTGTATTTGTATGCTATGTGTATTTAAGTAGACCCCCACGTGGTCAAACTGTGTGGGTGTCTTGTGGCCTGATTGAGAGTGTTGTAACGAGTGAGCGGCTGTTTCAGGCTGGGTGGATGTGACTATAAACAGAAGGCCTGAAAAAGAGGGTTTAGGGCCAGTGGGGGAAAAAAACTGGAAAGCGACAAACAATTTGGAGAAGAAATTGCTCCTCACCCCCTCAGCAAGGTCACAGATATATAACATCACACTCTACATAAAGAGACCCGCTGTGGTTCTTTCTCTCTCATTCCTTCCATTTGTTCTTCTCCTCTTCTCTCCCACCCTCTGATTCCCTCTCTTCTCCTTGGCTCGGGGTTGAGGAATGCTACCCAGTGGTGGCTGGGCATCAGGCCACGAGGAGACAGGCAAGGAAAAAGATGAGGAGAAAAAGAGAGAGGAAGCAAAGAAGGAGGCTGGAGAAGAAGAAGAATAAAAGAGCAGAGAAAAGCGAGTTAAGATGAACGAGCAGTGCAGGACAGAATATA